TTAAAATCAAAGTCTTCCTCCTTTTATAACATCAGCATTATGACAAAACTGAGTAACCAAATATTTTAGTTGACTCCTTTTAAAAATCTTAACAGATTCACTTGTAAACAAGATGATTTTAAAGTAAACGCAATTGAATAATTTGAAAATTAATGCCTGCACCGAGTATTTCTAAGCTAGTCAATAAATGAGCTCGGGAGCTATGAATCCTTGAACTGAAAGCACGTATGCACTGGCATGTTTTTTCTTTTTTTCAGGGAAAAGGGTCTAAGGCAGCGGTTCTCAACCTGTGGGTCGCAACCCCTTTGGGGTCAAACGACCCTTTCACAAGGGTCACCTAAGACCATCAGAAAACACATATATAATTACATATTGTTTTTGTGATTAATCACTATGCTTTAATTATGTTCAATTTGTAATAATGAAATTGGGGGTCACCACAACATGAGGAACTAATTAAAGGGCCGCGGCATTAGGAAGGTTGAGAACCACTGGTCTAAGGTTTTTATCAGAGTCATAAGGGTATCTGTGACTTCCAAAAGGTAAACACAAATTTAAAATGTTTATTTTTCTATTCAACATAACAAACACGACCATTTTTGTGAGCAAACTATATTGTGTAACACGTTTGTTCTTACATCACAGTAATTCAAGATGTATAAAAGGTGCTAAAATACAAAGGTACTTCATTTCTAAATAGTTTCCTCAATGGCAATGAATACTTGTTTCTGTCTTAAGGTATTACTTCTCAACAGGATTCTTCTAAAAATAAAATTAAATTAAAACACACTATTGGTTTTAGTCTGGTCTAATTGAGTGGACTTCCTAAGGAGAAAGAGCAGTAAAAGGGCACCTGTGTGCATGTTTGACACACAGCCAAACATGGTGTTTATGGAAAACTTCAGTTGGAGCAAGGAGGCTCCCAGCCAACAAAATCTACAGCTGTGAGACTTGGAACTTACAAGTGCCCAAACTCCAAAAGCAAAAGTGGAATTATGGGACAGACTTTGAAGCTTGTTTATGTGCAAATTTTTCTAGCGAGTATTGTATTCCTCTATTCAGATATATATTCTCTGATCAACACTAAAAATATTTTCTAATGCTAGAGAAACAGTAAAAGGGAATCCCATCCAGTTGTTAGTATCTACTTTTTTTCCGCAATTACTTGCAAACAAAACTCCTGGTGGCTAGAATGGAGTAGGTTAAATTCTGTATCCAGAGATTTGCAACTTTTTTCCCATCTTAACCCCCGAAAGGAAACAATCTGCTTCTCTGGTTAGCATGGGTCCTGAAAACACAGCAGCTCCTGGCTAGAAGGAAGAAACAAGAGGGGCTGCAGCATATCAGAATCTCTTTGAAAAGGCATCTCATGTGGTTTGATTATGCTCCATATCCCTAAAATCTTCTTGCTCAGTCCCCTGCTGGTATACACGCAGACACTGCCTGAAATATCTGGGGAAGATGATCAGAAGGTGAGCTCGAATGCAGAACTGGAAAGACAAGAGGCACCTTTGAAAGAAAGCTAAGTGCACTACGTAAGAAAGAACATTGGAGCCAGGGCTAAAGTTTTGAAGTTGGGAGATTATCTGCATATAGGCAGGACACTGCACTCCACTAAACTTTTTGTTGTTTTCAAGTACAAGGCGGCACAGTTTGGGATTATATACTGAATTACTGCAGCCAAAAAGAAAAAAATCCAACACCTTCAGGGACAGAGAACTGAATTTAATAAAGAATAACCTACCTGGTCTTGGCACCTTGCTTAATCATTAAAATTTGAATAAAAAACAAATAAATGAACAGATATCTAGCATATTCATTCACAGATGTTTTAGAGCTATCTCCAATCAAAATCACTAATTCTGTTTAGATAGGAGGGCCCTGTGTATTAGAATGAAACTGGCATATCATCTGTCCAAAATCAGTTTCATCTCAGCTAATCGGGCAACTCAACCAGAAATGAATTTAACTGCTCAGGCTATTATAATGGGAGTGCTGTGCTCCTGAGAAGAACTCCAAAGCTGATTTGATCTACATTATCCATACAGTTAGCAATTAGGAATCACCATGTAGAGACCCTAGCAAACTTTCAAATTATAGAAATCCAGAAACTATTACACTTTTTCATTTGAGACAGTTCTTGATGATCATTTTGCCAAATCATTTTTGCCTCAATACAGGGGCGGGCAAAAGTAGATTTATATTTGTGAGTATACCCAAGTTTGTTCTTGTGTTATTAATTATTAATTGTTTTATCATTCTCCATACAAACAACTGTAAACCTACTTTTGCTCACCCCTTTATTATGGAAAGAGGCTTCTAAGTTTGGTAAAATCCTTAACTATCTTGCTTGCTATAATGTCTATTCAAGACACATGGCAGATACACGCCAATACTTATGCTTTTTGAAAGGCAATGTAACACTGTATTTACTCTGGCTTAACTCCACCCCTCCCCACCCCCCAAAAAACAAAACAAAACAAAACAAAAAGTTAACTGTCAATTGATATAAAGTATAATTCCTACCAGCACAGGCAGGAAACCAACATCACATCACAAGTCATTCCTTTATGCTTTTACCTTCTCTAGTTCTGAAGGTCATAGTTTCCAATGCTGTGTCTGAACTTGTATTGAAATGTTTGGCATTAATAAAACAAAGAAGGAATTAATTTTTTTTTTAATTGTGAGGAGCGGGGAAGGAATCTACAAAGGCGGATTTCACTTTCTAAGTAGCATTATATTGGTCTACATTAATAATTTTCCCAGCAGGCCTTCCATGATTTTACTTTGAATAATCGCACCCTTTGTTTCTAAGATCCTCTTACATGTGACATTTGATCAAAGTTTTAAAATCAGCAGCTAATGGAAGTGGAGAAAAGTATTGCTCAGTAAGGCATTATATTATACAAAGCCATCCGACAGCTTATTTTAAGGTTTAAATATCACAGATGTTTCCAGCTAAACATTATATTGATATTAAGTTAAATTTTCTGAACCCTGAATACTATGATTTACTGCATATCATCATATTTCTCAGGGAAACATCTCCTAAACACCACTAAAGCATGCCTTAAGACAACTTTTCAGTTTTCACACAGATGTGTTTTTTAAACATAAGTACAATGTACCAAAAAAGTTTATTCTTATTCAAGGTCTCTGTACATAGCCTTAAAAAAAAAAGTCTGCCTCCTTGCCACCCCCCAAAAAATATTTCAGGTAACTAAATTACCTATATTACTAGTTCTAGAGTTAGTGACAGCCATTCTGATGAGATGGTATATGAAAACTGGTAAAAATAAATTCATTAATTCATACCTCAAAGTCCCTATCCAAGGATATCTTCCCCAAAGAAATGGAGGAAAAAACGATTAGTAAAGGAAATACCTCACACTTCAACATGCTATATAAGGAAAGACGTCTGAAAAGAAATCTTGCAGGGAATTTTATCCCTTTGAACTTTTAAATAAATTCTTAAGTAAGATTATGCAAACTTACTAAAAACCGGTCCAGATTAGAGGGAAAAAATGCACCCCTTCTCCAAGTCAGTTCTGGAGGCTTTAACCAGAGTTGTTAAGGTTTGTGTTGGGTAAAGAAAGACCTCCTAATAAACCAGCATTCTTTTCCACATGATCAGAGCTAATTGGCCCCCCTGCAGACTAAGTGACCAATCACATCAGCTTCAGCTGAAACCAACCCCCAAGACATTATAAACAGAGGAATGTGAACTGTAAACCCAGTCCAAGAAGAGAACCTACAAACTAGACTTGTAGAGTAAATTACCTCATCAAAAAGGCTGACTTTAAAAGTTTCCTCAAGACCTACCTGTGCATATAGTCTGACCCAGCAAAAAACTGGTGAGTACATCAAATAATATTCATTCTTATTTCTTTCTTTAAAGGGGAACAGAGAAAGAAAATGCTGGTAAATAGGGATTGAGCTAGATATTGCCAATAGAATTTTAAACCATACATTAAGGTTCTTTATTCTTTTTCCTTAAATTTTTGAAATGGAATAATGGATCCTACTGAAAGCATTACTGAAAATTTTCTTAATTGTTTTATTAAATGTATAATAATTCTCCATTATAATATAGAGACGAGTAGAAGAGAAAAACCCTAAAAAATTTTCAACAACTTATAACAAAATGTATCTTTTTCTTTAGAAAGGGATTAAAGAACCCCAAATGAGTATATAAAAACAAATGATAAAAAGAAAAACTTTTTTAATTTTTTAATCCATGAAAAAGTGATGAGTATCCTAATTTTAAATTTTGTTTTAAGCATGGATTAGTGAAAGTAGATGTTTCTGCAAATAAGAATTTAAAAGACTCTCTGAGCTTATATAATAGAGTTAGAACTCACACTGTTTGCCCTAATTATGGAGGAACAGGAAAGATAATTTTAAGACTCCCTAGAAGGTCTTAAAGTGTTTATACCAGATGTGAACAAATACATAGTAATACTGTAATCATTTAACATTTGTTGTTATAGTCTGTATCTACACTGTTTAATAGGAACTATACTAACTATATTATATGTTAATAAAAGACAGTTTTTAAGCTACTATCTAATGAGTAGAATAAATCATTTATTTTGATGACCAATGAAGCAGCCAAACTATCATTTGTATAAAGCACTATTTTTTCCACCAAAGAGTTTATAAGTGGGCAAAATTTTTATAGCCCACAGAGAGTGATACAAGCAAACCTTCCCAATCTTCAATTCTACTTTCTATTGGGATGATTTTATGAAAATCACATGAATACAAACCAAGATAAATACAATAAAAACAAACAAGTTCATAGATATAGAGAACAAACTGATGGTTACCAGGTGGGAGGCATGTGGAGGAAATGGGCAAAAAAGGTGAAGAGATTAACAAGTACAAACTGCCAATTACAAAATTAGTCATAGGGATATAATGCGCAGCATAGGGAATACAGTCAATAATACTGTAATAACGATGTATGGTGGGTGACAGATGGTTACTAACCTTATTGTGGTCATCACTTCATAAGATATATAAACGTCTAATCACTATGTTGTACACCTAAAACTAATATAATATTGTATGTCAACTATAATTTAAAAATAAAAATTTAAAAACACATTTGTGTGCCTACAGGGATATGAAAATTACTTGGAATTTAATAGTATAAACATAACATCTATTCATCAGACACTAACAGAGAAAACCTATCAGCTGAGGGAAATGATAATAAGTTTACAAACATGTAGGGTTTTAAAGTATCATGTCATTTAATTCCCTCTTCTCTTTCCTTTTTTAATATAAAGAAGCCTGGCCAAGGGGATTGGGTGGCTTTCCCACACTGACACAGCTATGTAATCAACACAGCTAGAACCTGGCCAGCTTGATTCCCCACCTGGTCTTCCTAGTAGTACATACAGTGAATACACGAGTCCCAAGAATGGAGTCATACAGGGTAATCTGTTAGGCGAGAATGAAAATCTTACTTCTCTCAACTATTCCACTCCGCAACACAATCTGAACAAGATCTAGCAAGAGATTCTTTGCTGCTTTGATATTAGCTTTTTGACTTTCCTGTTTAAAGGTTTTTCAATGTATATATAGTTATTTAGCTGCAAGAGAGAAAAAATAAAATTATAAAAGCCTAGAGCAGGGGTGGGAAACTTCTTTTCTGCCAAGGGCCATTTGGATATTTATAACATCATTCATGGGCCATACAAAATGATCAACTTAAAAATTAGCCTGCTATATTTGGTTAAACATTTAATTAACTCACCCCTAATGCCTTGGCAGGGCCAGACCAAATGACTTCGTGGGGCTTTTATGGCCCACAGACGGGGCGTTCCCCACCACTGGCCTAGAGCATGAGTGCTATAAGTAACAATCCTGCAAAGGCCCAAATGAGAATAATTGTTAGCTATAGTATGTATAGAAAGACTATCTCCCAGGTAATGCATTTTATAACTTAACAAAGCAGGTTGAAAATCAAGAAGAATTGCTTGGCCTGCGTGGCTTAGTGGCTGAGTGTCAACATATGAACTAGGAGGCCACGGTTCGATTCCCAGTCAGGGCACATGCCCAGGTTGCAGGCTCGATCCTCAGTGTAGGGTGTGCAGGAGGCAGCTGATCAGTGATTCTCTCTATCATTGATGTTTCTATCACTCTCACCCTCTCCCTTCCTCTCTGAATTTAAAAAAAAAAGTAAAAGAAAATCAAGAAGAATCATGTAGATTTCTCCCTACCCAGATTTTACTGTGAAACAAAAAGCAATCAGTGGTTCCCAAAGTGGAATAAGCACTAGTGTAAAGTTCTGTGATGAGCATTTTCACACAGGCAGGAAGTAAGAAACAGTAAAGGACAATGCCATGGACAATACAGAACCATGCAGTGGTTCTGACATTCTTCAAGTGTCAAAATGTCTTTCATAAAATTATGATAATATTATCATAATATTTTTTAAATTATTTTCTCTTCTGGCAAAATACAAATTTGGCAATGACGTATAAAAACTCTCCTCTCCACGTTTTGTTTTAATTCTCCTAGTCTGCAGAATTCTAAATTGACTATTGTAATAATTCTGATTCTACTAATCTTCAAATCTTGCAAGGTGTCTTCCTTAAGTGAAAATATATTTTTGCCTGCAAATCACAGGTCTGAACCTAAGCAAGCATTCCTGAAAAAACAAATATTCTGTAGTGGCTCTTGAACAAAATTTGTCAAATAAAACTTTGTGTTTCTTTATGAAGGCTAACCAGGGCCAAAGAGACAATATAGCACTAACTCTGAACTATGGACTTGGTATGGGATTCACCATGACTTACTACCTTTGTGATCTTAGGAAACTCACTGTGCCTTAGTTTCATTATCTGTAAAATGAGCATACTAATTGTACTTTTACTGTGAAAGTTAAAAAAATTATTAATTACAGTAAAGCAAATACTTATTGAGAAGGAACTCTCTCTTGCCAGGCATTGGCTATTGACTTCATATAAGTTAATACATGTGAAGTGTTTGGTATGATTCCTGGCACACAATAAACCATATATATTAGCTAATATTATTAATAATTACTGTCATAAAATCATGTAAAAAGTTAACAATGGTTTAAAATAGATACCTGAGACAGTTAAGGGGACAAAGAGCATCTACTAAAGATGCTAAAACATCTGCTGTCAGACTTTTTGTGACTGTAATACCAATTAACTTGAGAAAGACTTTTATTTCACTAAACTCTCCAAATAGACATCTTCTTGTAGTAAAAAAATAAAAATAAATTAACCAGCTGTGAAGTTAGACAGATTTGGTTAATAATTCAAATAATCCATGGCCCCCATCTGCCTGTGTACATTTCTTTTATCTGCCTGATCCTTGGTGACTTCATCTGAAAAATGGGATAATAATGTCTATCTTGCTGAGATACCAAAGAATTAGAGATAATGCAATACAAAAGCATGGAGCACAGTGCCTGTTTACAGTTGTTGTTATTATTTCCAAAAAGGCAGAGAGCAGGTCTCCTAAAACATTTAAAGAATCTAGCAAAATGAGTCATTAAATAGCTGTGGCAAGAAAAAAATATATACTAAGTAAAATGATAATAACAACTTGTTAGGAATAAAAAGTTATAAAACATTAATGCCCTAAGTTTTTTAAAAGTTTATAATATGAAACTGAAATGGCTATCTAATCTAAATTAGTTTATCAATCATTTTAGTGTTCTATCAGTAACTAAAATCTGGAAAAAAATACAAGAGACTGTCTAATATCACCAATAAACAATAAATTAGCCTCAGGACAAAAGAGAAAGCATATACCCAGCTGGGCAATGTTCAATTCCAACAACACGGGATAGGAAGAATCCAGTAAACCTAAGCAACAGGCTAAGTCTATATATGCCTCTAGTCCAATTAAGCAGCACTGTCCTTCAAAAGACAGGAAGGACAGTGCCTTGCAATACTTCCAAGGGCATCTACTTCTAAAGGAAAAAGCAAAGAAAAAGTCAAATATAACACCTACTACTGAACTGTAGCAAAGAAGAGAAGAGTATTCCAGGAGCAAAGCAGCATTTCCCATTCAGTACCTGGTAGCCTCTACACAAGTTTCAAGATGCAAAGATGGTCACATAGAAAACACACAGTATATTTCTACTCACCACACAGAGAAAAGAGAACCACTGATAAATACTGTTTACAGCTAAAAACTAATTATAGTATCTTTTTAAAATTGGCATTTGATGTACTAATGATTATTTTAGTTCATTAAACTTGAAGCGTTATTTTCTGGTTTATTTACTTTCAAAATTAATATTATCTAGGAATCTCTACCTAGAATTCCTTATTTTTCCAAGAAAATAATTCTCTACCCTATAATCTAATCAGCATTGAGAATATTTTAAGAGGGCATCAATTCATCAGCCAGGAAGGAAAAGAGTACATGAAGATGGCCACAAAGTGGCAAACACAAATAAAAATTTAAATAACTAACTAAAAAGCATATATTAGAACTATGACTCTCTAAAAGTTTAGTCTTGTCCTAGCACTAAGTTTGGTGTCAAAACATTTATAGACAGTTTAACTTCCAAATGATTTCTATTTATTTATACTTCTAAATGATTTCTATTTATTTACACAGAGAAACATATTTTTAACGATTCTTGTAATTATGGGTTTTCCATCATTATAAATCATTAAATAATTATGTAAAGTTTTTATTTACACATAATGTTTAGTCAAGTCAATAAATGCTCAATGACTGGACTTGTGCAAGAAAGATAAGGGGTGTTAATAAGCCATAAACCATAATCCCAACCTTTAGAAATTTTAAAATATACTTGAAAATGTTAAAATGCCAAACAATATTTTAACAGTCATTCTAGGAAACAATAAGAGCTATCCTAAGTCAAACCAGGATTAGCCACTTTATGTAAAAAAAAAAAAGAGACAGTGTCAGACTGGAAAAGCCTGTGCAACAGTCAAGAAAGCATTCCAAAGAAATTACATAGTGAATGAGGTCTCAGAATGTATTAACATTAACTGTAAATCTCTTGATTTCAAAGATTTACCGCCTGAGATGGATGGCAGCAATTGCAAGGTTAATGCTCCTCTCCTAACTCAAAGATACCGAAGGATGGTCACCAAGGATGGCCACAGCACACTTCAAATGGATGGCGCTCAAAGAGGTCTTGTCTATCTTCGAGATGCTTGGGGAATCCTAATGGACATGCGCTGGCGCTGGATGATGTTGGTCTTTTCTGCTTCTTTTGTTGTCCACTGGCTTGTCTTTGCAGTGCTCTGGTATGTGCTAGCTGAGATGAATGGTGATCTGGAACTAGATCATGATGCCCCACCTGAAAACCACACTATCTGTGTCAAGTACATCACCAGTTTCACAGCTGCATTCTCCTTCTCCCTGGAGACACAACTCACAATTGGTTATGGTACCATGTTCCCCAGTGGTGACTGTCCAAGTGCAATCGCACTCCTTGCCATACAAATGCTCCTAGGCCTCATGCTAGAGGCTTTTATCACAGGTAATTGTTTTTTGTTCTTAAAAAAATGTATGAAAGTTCTAGAAAGGGTATAGTCAGTAATTAGCAACTGTGCTATAGAATCATTTCTTTGCATTATTAGCAGGTAATGTCTGAGATTGAAAAGAGAGTCTAGGGACAAATGATAGGGGAGATTATAAGAAACATGACTCTATACTTAAATTTTACCTACTGGAACTTCTTAAGAAAAAAGGAACCATTATGACACTAACTTGCAGCAACCTCTTATGCAAAAAAAAAACCACACAAAACAAAACTATGAAAAAATTTTCAGAGAAGCTAAATATTTCATTAAATAAGTGAATAAATATCAGCACATATTTTGACATTTTACCTAATGAAAGAATTTGATATTTTAAACTTGGCTAGAATTTTCTCCTCTGAGTTCATCTTTTCAACATTTATTCAATGCTAGTGAGTCCAGAGCACCAAAGTCAACATTGTATGTATCTACATACAAGTACATACATTCTTAGCGAAATGCACTAGAAATATAGCCACAGAGATTATGAAATTTTGCTTAGAACACAGCAACAAGTAGGGCTAATGTACTTTTTATAAGTGATATGTACAAGTAAAAACAATTTTAAGAAAAAGGAAGAAACCCTGGTCTTAACACACTACCAGTAATAATCTGAGAAGGTAAGCAATGGCCATATGCAGAGTGATCTAGAATGAAGTCCCAGTGTGCCAACAAGTGGCTTCACAACCTGTAACAAATCACTTAACCTTTACAATAAGAATTCTTAAACTGGATTAGCCATTAGATAAAATTTAGAGGATCTGTGAACTTAAGAAAAACTTGCATCTTTTTTCACTAACTCCTAACTGAAATTTGATATTTCCTTTGGTTACAAATATAGGCAAAAAACAGTAACATCAATAACACTTTGATGCAAACAGAAATCACAGATATTTTCATATTCATACTATACTTCAACATTACAGTACTAAATCCACCACTATATTTTGTTATTTAATGTACTAGTAAATCACACATAGCACTATAATACATTTTTTAAACATATTCAACCAGATTTCAATATATTTGGTTTTCTTTGTACATATCTTATTTGTATGAATATAAAGCATAATTCCATAGATCTACCTGCCAAGAAGACCTGTGGCACAAAAGCAGTTAAGAAACTTTAATCTAATCTATAGCTCTGGGGAACAAGAAGGATGCACCTGAAAGATGCACTGAAATCACCTTAGAGCCAGAGTCTTCGTTAAAAAAAAAAAAAGTGTGTATGGGGATAAATTTCAAAGTTAAAATATTCTTTAGTGTATCTATGGTCCCTTCCCCACCCCAAATCATTCTACTTTGAATGTAATCTTTATGTAGGCTTGAAGTAATCTGCACTTAAACTGAATTTATTTTGTCACTTCTTTTTTTTTTTTTTAAAGGGCAGGAATATAGGAAATAACTATTCTTTGACTTTAAAACATACTAGAGGATAAAGTTTTAAATTTCTATGTAACAAAATGAATTTTGCTTATCCATTTTGAAATCATAATTTTTTAAAAAAG